AATCAATTACAAAGTAAGCCCGTCTTTAACAAGTAAAGAAGTAAGAAGCATGCATTTATATGAAAGCAAATAATTTCTAACAGCAGATGGCTTATTTGAATTTAATATTTAATAGTTTAAAATCTAAGAGATACTGCGTTATTTCTGTGGTGAACTTTTTAATAAAAGACAACAACATGCAGGCATCTGTATGCAATCTGGTCACATTCCGATAAAAGGAAATTCAAAATTCTCATTGAGATACCCTGTAGAGATATCAGTCTTTTGGTAGGTTTACTTATAGATTACTGTAAACTAGGAAACCATGCTAGAAGGTTAGGTCTTCCTTTCAATTAAACTTGTTGCAGCTGTGTGGAAGACGATGAGAGTGCCTCTCATCTACTATGTTTTAGCCGAACTCATTCACGGCAGTTACTCAGCACTTTGCGAGTCCCCTTTCTTTGAGGATCTTGATCAATTACAAGATCTGATACTCAATAGCATTTTAGGCTTCGCCTAAGGTTCTAGGTGGCTTTAAACCTTGAGTTTTCTTACATACACGGTAACACAATAGGCCAATAGGCTTAAGGGGATCCACTAGGGATCGCTGGTATAACCTAACCTAACCTAGCTCCTCTATTTTTTCTGTAAGTTGTGTTATATACAACAACAAAGGATTTTATTATAAATAGCAAATAACGTACTTCATCATTCAATTATTTTAAAAAATTTTAATAACATTTCAAATTTTTCTTCATAAGAACCGAAGAGCAGAAGAATGATATTCCAATGGAATACGTAATGAAGTTTTGTTCTATATGTATTTTTTTTATTAACTAATAAAGAGTTTTATATTAAAATTAGGAACCTTTTCAATCTATTTTGCAGGTGCATATTTCTTAATGGGCGAACTTTAAGAAATATTTTTATATATTTCTTTGGATATTCTTTTAGGGGAAGATAACTCCATTCTATATGCCCCCACTGACTATGCCGTTGCCTCTGCTTGGTTATAAAACATTCGACTTTTTTTCCAAAATTTGGAGTAATGACCAATGAAATGGTTTAATGAAATTTGGAACCAAAAAGACCTTTTAATTAAACTAACTGGAGATCTTCGACTTCCTCAATTAGTTATGTTACTTGTGATATATATTTTCTTCAGTAGCGATTATAGTTTTAATTTATAATTTATATATTACTACACTCAATGGTCACCGTATTTCATTAAAAATATCTTTTATTGGTTTTTATTGAAATAGAATATAATTTATAAATTTTCCAAGAATTTCAAATTGAAGTTATGGCTAAAATCATTTACTTTTTTAATGTATCTTATTTATTCCTTTGATGATGTAAAAATAATTTTGTCAAAATTTCAGTAAATAAGACTTAGTTCGATGGTGAGGTCCTATGCTCCACTGTGAGTAGAGGACTGCAGTAAGTAAGTAAGTTTAATGGTAAGAAGTAAAAATGAAATCGAAATTGTTTAAATTATATAATATATTTGTATAATATAATAGAAATAATTTTAATAATGTTATATATTTATATGTTATATGAAAAATTGGAGCATGTTCAAATAAAAATGATTTATTGAAATAAATTTGATATCAAACTAATTGTAATTATATAATGATTATATATTTATAAATATGCCTATCATGTAATACATTATGTGGGTGAAAATCATTACACATATTTTCACAAAATTCACAAAATTCTGGGTCAAGGTAAGTGTGCAGTCATGTGTATTTTTATCCAAAAAAAAATCTGCCAAAATCCTTTCACAGTAGAATATCCTGCCACAGCTTTCCACTGTTGTGCCGGTTAATCGAAATAAACTCCTTTAATACTCGTACACAAGTAAATGTCAGTGGGTGCCAAGGTTAGTTACTGTTTGTTATCAAATCTGGTATATAATTTATCATGTGAGTGTCGTTTAAAGATTACTTAAATTTTTGTGAAATTATTAGGAAAGGATATTTAGATACTACATATACCTATATGTAAGTAAATGACGCAAACTGAAATAAAATTTTCTTACTTCTGATATAAAAACCTTCACAGCCATTTCTGTTTGGTTAATAATTGATTTGATATTTTCCTTTAAAGAGAAAAAAGAAATAATACTATTTATTAAATAAAATATGATTTATTATATTATAATATTAGTCGTTATACAGTTCAAATAAAATTTTAACTTCAACTAGTTTTGTTTGTAAACGCGTTTATAAGACAGTCTATCGTTCTATTGGACTTATTGTAACAATAATAGTACATATAAAAATTTTTCAAAAATTTATTACAAATAAAAAAATAATAAATACTATATATATAATAATATTTATTAATATTTATTGATTTATTATTTATTAAAAATATAATAATATATACATAATAGTAACCTAAAACGCTTTAAAGATTGTATAGTACAATCAAAAACTAACATAAAAATTGTTACGGGATTACTGACCGGTGACTGCAGATTGAATAATCACCTATCGAAGTTAGGAATTCAATCCAACTCAGACTGCAGATACTACAGGGTAGAGAGAGAAACGGCATACCATGTGCTTGGGGAGTGCCCGGCACTGATGCATAAGTAAAAAAAACACCTAGGAGGGTATTTCATGGATCATAAGGATTGAAGACTGGGGAAGATAGGATCCATACTGTCTTTCATTAAAGAAATCGGACTTGGAGAAATACTCTAACCCGACAAAGGGGCACAATAGATCTTTTAGGTCGCAGTGCACGATCCCTTACTCAATAATAATAATAAATACATAATAGTAGTTATAGTAGTTATAATTATTAAATGGGTTGAAAAGTAATTTTATGTGATCTAGCAGTGCATCTAGTATTGCTTGTCTAAAATATTATGCAGGGGGTCTGGTATTAAGGCAATACATATGCATATGTATTTAGAAGTTACAGTCTTGGTTTAAATAACGAAATTAAACATATATGAAGAAGAAATTTAATTTTAATACTAATTGAGATAAAGAGTGATAAGGAAACGTCCCTCAATTCCAGCCAAGCTCTATGTACAATTACTAAGACATTGAAATTAAAATTCAGTTAAGTCAATTCAATTAAAATTATTATTTTAACTGAATTAGCTAAATTTGTTTAGGTTAAACAAAATGTATCTGAAATTTAAGAAATCACATTTTGCAGAACATAAAAGAAATAAACGCTATAAAAGATTTTAGTTAAGTTTTCTTCCTGCGGTAAGAAAGTTAAAGAATAAGAAATGAAAATTCTCAAAAAGAGCTTAAGGTTTTAGGCAACTGTTTACATTTGTAAATCCATTTACATTTCTTTATTGTTATAATTTTTTTTTTTTTTGATGTTACTTTTGTTCTCAACTTTCATTAGATACTTTAATATTTGGGCATACCTAAAACAACAATAAAAAGTATCAAGTTTACGAATGATATAGTCAGCACAGTGACCCTCTTACAAAGGCATTCCTTATCTTAATGTTTACATTAGCATAAAAGTAACAGAAGTGTACTTTTGTGTCATGTCCTTTGACCTTTTTACAATTGTTATCACTTTTACACCTAATAAAACTTATTTTCGGCTAATTATGAATGCGAAATGTTATATGCATTATATTATAAATTTAATAAAATTCAGTTTTTTTTGTGAGATTTTTTATTTTTTAAATATTTTTAAAATTATAAAAAAGACAAAAGTATTAAATTATGTCATAAAATAAAAACTTAAAAATTACAATTTTTTTCTTTATATGTATTAGCTTTATATGTTTTATATTTCTTACACACACGTTCTTATTGTTACTTTTGGGCGCAAGCATTCACTTATTCGAAATACATTCT